TCTGACACATTGACTCTGGCACTCTGACGACCTGATTCTGGCACTCTGACACGACCTGACTCTGGCACTTTGACGACTTGACTCTGGCACTCCTGACACGACCTGACTCTGGCACTCTGGCACGACCAGACTCTGGCACTCTGACAGCCTGACTCTGGCACTCTGACACGACCTGATTCTGCACTCTGCACGACCTGACTCTGGCACTCTGACACGACCTGACTCTGGCACTCTGGACCTGCTGCACTTGTACGACCTGACTCTGGCACTCTGACGACCTTGACTCTGGCACTCTGACACGACCTGATTCTGGCACTCTGACACGACCTGATTCTGGCACTCTGACACGACCTGACTCTGGCACTCTGACACGACGGCTCTGGCACTCTGACACGACTTGACTCTGGCACTCTGTGGACCTGACTCTGGCACTCTGACGACCTGACTCTGGCACTCTGACACGACCTGACTCTGGCACTCTGGCACGACCTGACTCTGGCACTCTGACACGACCTGACTCTGGCACTCTGGCACGACCTGACTCTGGCACTCTGACACGACCTGACTCTGGCACTCTGACACGACCTGACTCTGGCACTCTGACGACCTGAATCTGGCACTCTGACACGACCTGATTCTAGCACTCTGCCTGACCTGACTCTGGCACTCTGTGCACGACCTGACTCTGGCACTCTGACACGACCTGACTCTGGCACTCTGACACGACCTGACTCTGGCACTGTGGCACGACCTGACTCTGGCACTCTGGACGACCTGACTCTGGCACTCTGGCCACGACCTGACTCTGGCACTGTGCTGACGACTCTGGCACTCTGGCGACTGACTCTGCTCTGACACGACCGAGCTCTGGCACTCTGACACGACCTGACTCTGGCACTCTGACACGACCTGACTCTGGCACTCTGACACGACGACTCTGGCACTCTGACACGACCTGACTCTGGCACTCTGACACGACCTGACTCTGGCACTCTGCACGACCTGACTCTGCTCTGGCCTGCCTGACTCTGGCACTCTGGCGACCGACTCTGGCACTCTGACACGACCTGACTCTGGCACTCTGACACGACCTGACTCTGGCACTCTGACCGCGACCTGACTCTGGCACTCTGGCACGACCTGACTCTGGCACTCTGACACGACCTGACTCTGGCACTCTGACACGACCTGACTCTGGCACTGGCCACGACCTGACTCTGGCACTCTGACGACCTGACTCTGGGACTGTGGCACGACCTGACTCTGGCACTCTGACACGACCTGACTCTGGCACTCTGACACGACCTGACTCTGGCACTCTGCACGACCTGACTCTGGCACTCTGACACGACCTGACTCTGGCACTCTGACGCACGACCTGACTCTGGCACTCTGACACGACCTGACTCCTGGCACTCTGGCACGACCTGACTCTGGCACTCTGGCACGACCTGACTCTGGCACTCTGCTGACCTGACGTCTGGCACTCTGCGACCTGACTCTGGCACTCAGCACGACCTGACTCTGGCACTCTGGCACGACCTGACTCTGGCACTCTGACACGACCTGACTCTGGCACGACCTGATTCTGCACTCTGGCACGACCTGACTCTCGGCACTCTGGCACGACCTGACTCTGGCACTCTGACACGACCTGACTCTGGCACTCTGACACGACCTGACTCTGGCACTCTGACGACCTGACTCTGCTCCTGCGCGACCTGACTCTGGCACTCTGACACGACCTGACTCTGGCACTCTGACACGACCTGACTCTGGCACTCTGGCACGACCTGACTCTGGCACTCTGGCACGACCTGACTCTGACACTGTGGTATCATTGACACTCACATTAACTTTAATCGACCAATAGGTTGAGAGGGTCACTGTTTCTCTGTAGGTGGCACTGTCTCCTCCTCCTCCTTCCTCCTCCTCCTCTTCCTCCTCCTCTTCCTCTCTTCCTCCTCCTCTTCCTCTGCCTCCTCCTCCTCTTCCTCCTCCTCCCCCCTCCTCTTCCTCTCTTCCTCCTCCTCTTCCTCTCATCCTCTCTTCTCCCTCCTCCTCCTCCTCTTCCTCCTCCTCCCGCCCACCTCCTCTTCCTCTCTTCCTCCTCCTCTTCCTCTCATCCTCCTCTTCCTCCTCCTCCTCCTCCTCTTCCTCCTCCTCCTCTTCCTCTTCCTCTCTTCCTCTTCCTCCTCCTCTTCCTCTGCCTCCTCCTCCTCTTTTCCTCCTCCTCCGCCACCTCCTCTTCCTCTCTTCCTCCTCCTCTTCCTCTCATCCTCCTCTTCCTCCTCCTCCTCCTCCTCTTCCTCCTCCTCCTCCTCTCTTCCTCTCTTCCTCCTCCTCTTCCTTTCCTCCTCTTCTCCCTCCTCCTCCTTCCTCTTCTTCTCCTCCTCCGCCACCTCCTCTTCCTCTCTTCCTCTCTTCCCCTCCTCCTCCTCCTCCTCCTCACCCCCCTCCCCTGACCAGTGTGTTAAAGGGACTCAAACCTCAACTAATAAATCACACCGTTTGACCTCTCACGACCCGGCTCGAAATATATACATCACCTCTTTTATATAAAGCCTGATATTATAGCTTGAAATATATCCTTAGGCCTATATTATACCTTGAAATATATCCTTAGGCCTATATTATACCTTGAAATATATCCTTAGGCCTATATTATACCTTGAAATATATCCTTAGGCCTATATTATACCTTGAAATATACCTTAGGCCTATATTATACCTTGAAATATATCCCTTAGGCCTATATTATACCTTCGGAAATATACCCTTAGGCCTATATTATACCTTGAAATATACCTTAGGCCTATATTATACCTTGAAATATATCCTTAGGCCTATATACCTTGGAAATATATCCTTAGGCCTATATTATACCTTGAAATATACCCTTAGGCCTATATTATACCTTGAAATATATCTTTAGGCCTATATTATACTTGAAATATATCCTTAGGCCTATATTATACCTTGAAATATATCCTTAGGCCTATATTATACCTTGAAATATATCCTTAGGCTATATTATACCTTGAAATATATCCTTAGGCCTATATTATACCTTAGAAATATATCCTTAGGCCTATATTATACCTTGAAATATACCCTTAGGCCTATATTATACCTTGAAATATATCCTTGGGCCTATATTATACCTTGGAAATATACCTAGGCCTATATTATACCTTGAAATATATCCTTAGGCCTATATTATACCTTGAAATATATCCTTGAGCCTATATTATACCTTGAAAAATATACCCTTAGGCCTATATGCAGCAAATATATATCTTGAGCCTATATTATACCTTGAAATATACCCTTAGGCCTATATTATACCTTGAAATATATCTTTAGGCCTATATTATACCTTGAGAAATATATCCTTAGGCCTATATTATACCTTGAAATATATCTCTTAGGCTATATTATACCTTGAAATATATCTTTAGGCCTATATTATACCTTGAAATATATCTAGGCCTGTATACCTTGAAATATATCCTTAGGCTCTATATATGAAATATATCCTTAGTATATTATACCTGAAATATATCCTTAGGCCTATATACTGCTTGAAACATACCCTTAGGCCTATATTATACCTTGAAATATCCTTAGGCCTATATTAATGCCTTGAAATATATCCTTAGGCCTATATTATGCCTTGAAATATATCCTTAGGCCTATATACCTTGAAAACATACCTTAGGCCTATATTATACCTTGAAATATATCCTTAGGCCTATATTATGCCTTGAAATATATCCTTAGGCCTATATTATACTTTGAAATATATCCTTATCCTATATTATGCCTTGAAATATATCCTTAGGCCTATATTATGCCTTGAGAAATATATCCTTAGGCCTATATTATGCCTTGAAATATATCCTTGGGCCTATATTATACCTTGAAATATATCCTAGGCCTATATACCTTGAAACATACCCTTAGGCCTATATTATACCTTGAAATATATCCTTAGGCCTATATTATGCCTTGAAATATATCCTTAGTCCTATATTATGCCTTGAAATATATCCTTAGGCCTATATTATGCCTTGAAATATATCCTTAGGCCTATATTATGCCTTGAAATATACCCTTAGGCCTGATATTATACCTTGAAATATATCCTTAGGCCTATATACCTTGAAACATACCCTTAGGCCTATATCATACCTTGAAATATATCCTTAGGCCTATATTATGCCTTGAAATATATCCTTAGGCCTATATTATGCTACATTAGCTGATTATAATAATAGACCTAACCTAACCTAACCTCTCTCTGTAGGACCACACACACACACACACACACACACACACACACACACACACACACACACACACACACACACACACACACACACACACACACACACACACACACACACACACACACACACACACACACACACACACACACACACACACACACACACACACACACACACACACACACACACACACACACACACACACACACACACACACACGACCTAGCGAACAAAGTGCAGCAAACACAATGACGTTGGAGAGAGAGAGGAGAGAGAGTAATTATTTAATGATCAACCTCTTCTTCCATAACAATCTACCTGTGAGTAATTAACTGTTGTTCTAACGGGCCCAATCACAGCGGTTGGTGGTGGTTAGTTGGAGGAGGGAAGGAGGAAGGGAGAATGGTTCTGCCACCCAGGTAGTTAAATGCTCCATCGTAACGACCCACTTGGGGTAATTAGAGAATTTTATCTTACCTGGACCATCTTCACTACGGCGGTCTCTGAGAGGGTGGGAGGGGTGTGGGGAGGTGGGGGAGGGGTGGGGAGGGGGTGGGAGGTGGGGAGGGTTGGGAGGGTGGGAGGGTGGGGAGGGTGGGGAGTGGGGAGGGAGGTGGGGAGAGTGGGGAGGGTTGGGGAGGGTGGGGTGGGGTTGGGGTTAGGTTGGGTTAAGTGTCGACAAAACAACTCTTAAATAGTGGGTGAAGTCTATTGGGGTCCTGGGAGTCCTGTGGCGTTCTGTGGGGTCCTGGGGGCTCCTCGGTGGTCCTTGGTGGTCCTGTGGGGTCCTGTGGGTCTATGGGTGTCCTGGGGGCTCCTGGGGGTCCTGGTGGTACTGTGTGGGTCCTGGGGGCTCCTGGGGGTCCTGTGGGGGTCTGGGGGCTCTGGGGGCTCCTGGGGTCCCTGTGGGGGTCCTGGGGGCTCCTGGGGGTCCTGGTGGTCCTGTGGGGGTCCTGGGGGCTCCTGGGGGGTCTGTGGGGGTCCTGGGCTCCTGGGGGCTCCTGGGGGTCCTTGGGGGTCCTGGGGGTCCTGGGGGCTCCTGGGGTCCTTGGGGTCCTGTGGGGTCCTGGGGGGTCCTGTGGGGTCCTGTGGGGTCCTGTGGGGTAATAAACTCTGGAAATATCAGGTCCGCCATTTCTCTCTCTCTTCAATGGCGTCTCTACCAAGCTGGGGTTCAAGGGTTCGTTTTAGGTCTCCAATGAACCAGTTTCGTCAGCTGAGTGAGCTTTGGTTATTGTCTATCGGTGAGGGTTCGTTTTAGGTGTCGAATGAAGCAGTATCTATGGTTCGACTCGACGCCATGTTTTTTTGTTCGGATGTGTTAATTCGTCTATGACTTTAGTTACAATTATAATTAATTTTCTTATAATTCTTCACTAAATAATAAATATTTTTTAAGTATTTTATTTCAAGTAAAATATGTATAATAAAGTTTAATACTTGTATAAGATGAATAAATTTTTGTTGTGTTGATAATATATATTTATTTTACGTTAAATAAATCGAACATAAGTCAGCAGAACAGACGAAGATCAATGTTGGATTAAGACCCCGACCAAATCCTGTAAAATATAAAACAAATAAACATCAATAAACAAAAACAAACAAACAAACATAAGATAATAATAATAAAAACATTTACATAAGATTAGATTAAGATAAAATTATTCACATGACGTAGAAAAAAAAATTAATATATTTTTATTGTTCGTGGTTAATGTTACTAAAATTAACTTCTCATTTGAACACTTTTAAGAGATATATTTACGAGTTTCACACAACACATATGACAACCCACATATGACACAACCCACATATGACACAACCCACATATGACACAACCCACATATGGCTAGCCACATATGACACAACCTACATATGACCATATGACACAACCCACATATGACACAACCCATATGACAACCTACATGACACAAACCATGACAACCTACATATACTTAACCCACATATGACACAACCTACATATGACACAACCCACATATGACACAACCCACATATGACTAAACCTACATATGACACAACCACATATGACTCAACCACATGACACAACCTACATATGACACAACCCACATATGACACAACGACATATGGAAACAACCACATATGACACAACCCACATATGACACAACCTACATATGACACAACCCACATATGACACAACCGCATGACACAACCTACATATGACACAACCCACATATGACACAACCCGCATGACACAACCTACATATGACACAACCCACATATGACACAACCCACATGGCTAACCTACATGACACAACACATGCATTGACACAACACATGACACAACACACATATGACACAGCCACCACATCACACAACCTACATATGACACAACCCACATATGACACAACACATGACACAACACATATGACACAACCTACATCACACAACCCATATATGACACCTGACACATGACACAGGATAATAAAAATGCCAAGTCAACAACATTCTAGCTTTATTCTTCAGATAATTGTTAGAAAAATACAAAATCATCTCAGGGTGTTGACCTGACCTCTGACCTGACCTTGTGGCTCTATGACCTGACCTGACCTTGTGGCTCTATGACCTGACCTGACCTTGTGGCTCTATGACCTGACCTGACCTTGTGGCACTATGACCTGACCTGACCTTGTGGTTCTATTACCTGATCTGAACTTGTGGCTCTATGACCTGACGCTGACCTTGTGGCTCTATGACCTGACCTGACCTTGTGGCTCTAAGGCCCGACCTGACCTTGTGGCTCTATGACCTGACCTGACTGTGGCTCTATGACCTGACCTGACCTTGTGGCTCTATGACCTGACCTGACCTTGGCTCTATGACCTGACCTTGTGGCTCTATGACCTGACCTGACTGTGGCACTATATGACCTGACCTGACCTTGTGGCACTATGACCTGACCTGACCTTGTGGCTCTATGACCTGACCTGACGGCCTGACCTGACCTTGTGGCTATGACCTGACCTGACCTTGTGGCACTATGACCTGACCTGACCTTGTGGCTCTATGACCTGACCTGACCTCTTCACCGTCATCGTTCACGCCATTAATCTCATAAGGTGGCAGGAATAACATACATACATACATACATACATACATACATACATACATACATACATACATACATAGGGAGAATGAACACTATTATATATACACACACACATACAATCACATATACACACATACATGTACGGAGAGATACTGAAAAATATTATACACACATACACATACATTCATACATACATTATACATACATACATACATACACACACACACACACACACACACACACACACACACACACACACACTGGGTTCCTTAAGTAATTTCCTTATATTAATTTATACAGTGAACACGTAAAGGGTTTAATAACATGACCTGACCTGGCCTAGCCTGACCTAACCTGACCTAACCTAACCTGACCTAACCTGACCTGACCTAACCTGACCTGACCTGACTAACCTGACCTGAGCTAACCTAACCTGACCTGACCTGACCTAACCTGACCTAACCTAACCTGACCTAACCTGACCTGACCTAACTGCTGACCTGACCTAACTGACCTGAACTAACCTAACCTGACCTGACCTAACCTGACCTGACCTAACCTGACCTGACCTGACCTAACCTGACCTGACTTGACCTGACCTGACCTGACCTAACCTGACCTCTTTAGACTTAAGGAAAAAAATTATCCTTAGAATATTTGGTTGACGTTGAGAGAGGCCCAACCAATTCAACCCACTTCACAAAATAACCCACATACCTAACCCATGATGTCCCTCCCTATGCCGTCTTAAATGCCCTGTGGCTCAGCAATGGGTAGGGATATGGGCGTGGTCAGGGACTCAGAAATGGGCGTGGTTAAGAGACTCAGAAATGGGCGTATTTAAAGAATCTAAAACCCTCGGTATTTGGGAACCTGTGATTGGTCCATGTAACATCTCCGGAAACACAGTGGGCGTGGTTATCTCATTCTCTAGGCCAGTAGAAACGTGGATATCACAGAGGATGGTTTTCACTGGTGGAGGGATGTTTGTTTTGGTCGTCGTTGATTGGCTGGAGTGGGAGCCAGTAGGATCCCAGGACTCAGCACATGTATGCCACTTCCCTGAACCCGTCGAGGAACTTGCCACTGCCGCCACAGCTTTCCAAACCTGTAGAAGGCGCTGAAGGTACATAACTACAGTATCCTACACCCTACAACAGTATCCTACACCCTACAACAGTATCCTGCCTACAACAGTATCCTACACCCTACTACAGTATCCTACACCTACCACAGTATCCTACACCTACAACAGTATCTACACCTACTACAGTATCCTACACACCTACAGTATCTACACCTACAACATCCACCTACAACAGTATCACCACCCTACTACAGTATCCTACACCTACTACAGTATCCTCCACCCCTACAACAGTATCCTGCACCCCTACAACAGTATCCTGCACCCTACTACAAGTATCTCCACCCTACAACAGTATCCTACACCCCCTACTGCAGTATCCTACACCTACAACAGTATCCTACACCCTACAACAGTATCCTACACCCTACAGCAGTATACACACAACGTATCACCACCTACAACAGTATCCTACACCCTACTACAGTATCTACACCTACAACAGTATCCCACACCCTACACAGTATCCCACCAGATCCCCCTACTACGGTATCCTACACCTACAACAGTATCCTACACCCACTACAACAGTATCCTACACCCTACTACAGTATCCTACACCTCCGTTACCACCCTACTGTATCCTACACCCTAACAGTATCCTACACCCTACAACAGTATCTCACACCTACAACAGTATCACCACTACTACAGTATCCTACACCCTAACCAGTATCCCACACCTACTACAGTATCCTACACCTACAACAGTATCCTACCCCTGCAGTATCCTACACCCTACAACAGTATCCTACACCCTACTACAGTATCCTACACCCTACTACAGTATCCTACACCCTACTACAGTATCCTACACCCTACAACAGTATCCTACACCCTACAACAGTATCCTACACCCTACAACAGTATCCTACACCCTACAACAGTATCCTACACCCTACAACAGTATCCTACACCCTACAACAGTATCCTACACCCTACAACAGTATCCTACACCCTACTACAGTATCCTACACCCTACTACAGTATCCTACACCCTACAACAGTATCCTACACCCTACTACAGTACCTACACCTACAACAATCCTACACCTACTGTATTATCCTACACCCCTACAACAGTATCCTACACCTACAACAGTATCCTACACCTACTACAGTATCCTACACCCTACCACAGTATCCTACACCCTACAACAGTATCCTCACCCTACAACAGTATCCTACACCCTACAACAGTATCCTACACCTACAGTATCTACACCCTACTACGTATCCTCCACCCTACAGCAGCATCCCTACACCCTACAACAGTATCCTGCACCTACAACAGTATCCTACACCCCTACAACAGTATCTACACCCTACACAGTATCCTACACCCTACAACAGTATCCCTACACCCTACTACTACAGTATCCTACACCCTACTACAGTATCCCCACACCCTACAACAGTATCCTGCCTACAACAGTATCCCACCCTACAACAGTATCCTACACCCTACTACAGTATCCTACACTACAACAGTATCCTACACCTACTGCAGTATCTACACCCTACAGTATCTACACCTACAACAGTATTACCACCCTACTACAGTATCCTACACCTACAACAGTATCCTACACCCTACAACAGTATCCTACACCTACAACAGTATCCTACACTACTACAGTATCTTCCACATCCAACAGTATCCTACACTACAACAGTATCCTCACACCCTACAACAGTATCCACCCCTACAACAGTATCCTACACCCTACAACAGTATCCTACACCCTACAACAGTATCCTACACCCTACTACTACAGTATCCTACACCCTACACAGTATCCTACACCCTACTACAGATCCACCACCCTACAACAGTATCCTACACCTACAGTATCCTACACCCTACAACAGTATCCCTACACCTACTACAGTATCCTACACCCTACAGTATCCACCACCTACAACAGTATCTACACCCTACAACAGTATCCTACACCCTACAACAGTATCCTACACCCCTACTACAGTATCTACACCCTACTACAGTATCCTACACCCTACTACAGTATCCTACACCCTACCCTATAGTATCCTACACCCTACTACAGTATCCTACACCCTACAACAGTATCCTACACCCTACAACAGTATCCTGCACTACACAGTATCCACCACTCTACAGTATCCTACACCCTACAACAGTATCCTACACCCTACTACAGTATCCTACACCCTAACTACAGTATCCTACACCCTACTACCAGTATCCTCCACACCTACAACAGTATCCTACACCCTACAACAGTACCTACACCCTACAACAGTATGCTACACCTACAACAGTATCCTACACCTACAGTATCCTACACCTACAACAGTATCCTACACCTACAACAGTATCCTACACCCTACAACAGTATCCTACACCTACTACAGTATCCTACACCCTACTACAGTATCCCACCCCTACTACAGTATCCTACACCCTACAACAGTATCCTACACCCCACTACAACAGTATCCTACACCCTACTACAGTATCCTACACCCTACTACAGTATCCTACACCTACAACAGTATCCTACACCTACAACAGTATCCTACACCTACAACAGTATCCTACACCCTACTACAGTATTCTACACCCTACAACAGTATCCTACACCCTACAACAGTATCCTACACCCTACTACAGTATCCCACCCTACAACAGTATCCTACACCCCTACAACAGTATCCTGCCTACAACAGTATCCTACACCCTACTACAGTATCCCACACCTACAACAGTATCTCTACACCTACTACAGTATCCTACACCCTACAACAGTATCCTACACCCTACAACAGTATCCTACACCCTACACAACGGTATCCTACACCTACAACAGTATCCTACACCCTACAACAGTATCCTCCACCTACAACAGTATCCTACACCCTACAACAGTATCACCACCTACAACAGTATCTACACCCTACTACAGTATCCTACACCCTACTACGTATCCTCCCACCCACAACAGTATCCTCCACCTACTACAGTATCACCACCTACAACAGTATCCTACACACCTACAACAGTATCCTGCACCCTACTACAGTATCCTACACCTACAACAGTATCCTACACCCTACAACAGTATCCTACACCCTACTACAGTATCCTACACCTACTACAGTATCCTACACCTACTACAGTATCCTACACCCTACACTCAGTATCACCACTACTACAGTATCCTGCACCCTACTACAGTATCCTACACTCTACTACGGTATCCTACCCCTACAACGTATCCTCACCCTACTACGTGCATCCTACACCCTACTACAGTATCCACCACTACACACGACATCCTACACCTACAACAGTATCCTACACCCTACTACAGTATCCTACACCCTACTACAGTATCTACACCCTACTACAGTATCCTACACCCTACTACAGTATCCTGCCTACAACAGTATCCTACACCTACAACAGTATCCTACACCCTACAGCAGTATCCTACACCCCTACAAGTACACCACCTACTACAGTATCCTACACCCTACTACAGTATCCCATCCTACTATAGTATCCACCCCTACTACAGTATCTACACCCTACAACAGTATCCCTACACCCCTACAACAGTATCCTACACCTACAACAGTATCCTACACCCTACTACAGTATCCCACCCTACAACAGTATCCTACACCCTACTACAGTATCCTACACCCTACTACAGTATCTACACCTACTACAGTATCCTACACCTACAACAGTATCCACACCTACAACAGTACCCACCACCCCTACAACAGTATCCTGCACCTACAACAGTATCTACACCCTACTACAGTATCTGCCACCCACAACAGTATCC